GGGAAAATAGCCTAAGAAGTATTAATTCCTCATCATAGGGACAAATATGACAGTTTGGGAACCAAGATGGAAGAATAACCATAAAAATTTATCCTATACGAGGAATGTGAAGTTCATATTCTTGTTTATAGGAAGAGTACCATGAATCTTTTAAAAAATTATTTGCATAAACTAATTATGCAAACTGAAAGGGGGATCAATTATGGTACTTACATGTATAAATATAATATACTTTGATCAAATTCACCCTATCTATATTACTTTTTTATAAACTTGATTTTAAAAATTTTAAATTAATGTGTTATTGTGCTAGGGATATTTTGTGACATTTACAAAAATTATTACAATATATCATAGTTGAATTCCCCATCTCCATCCTTCTCTATTAACCCCCAATTCCTGGAATCGTTTTTGCATTTTTCCATTTACATACATGTATAAACAGTATTTGTACAGTATTCACTCTCATACATGCCCTCGCCACATCTTCACCCCCATGCACTTATAAAAACATCCATTTTTGTAAAAACTAATGAACTTTTTGTTAGTACAACACAAAAATACATGTGACATTTCAATGTGTATGTGAATTATAACCAGAATTGTTTCATCTCCTCTGTTTTCCTCCATTCTATTTCAGTCCCATTTTATGGTGATTTCTACAGGTTTAAAAATTAAATATCCATTCTTGTATAGGAAGTATATCAACCATAACCTCCTCTGTGTTCACACCATTTTAGCAATTTTTAGTGGGTTTAATTCTGGTGCCACAAATCATGCTCAAAATTTGCTTTGCACTACACTAGGCGTACTTTCCATACAGGTCACATGCAAAATAGAAAGTAATAATAGGTCCTTATAGCCTATTTCCTAAGGAACCTGAAAGAATTAAGAACGTTCTGATAAGGGTGACAATAACTAAACATCATAGCTGTTTTTGACAGTTCTTAAAGTGCAGACTTCTAACAACATGCTCTATGCAGTTTGTTTTATTTCATATACATCACTCCCATTGCTAACAGTGTCCATATTATTACTATCTTACAGAAAATAAAACACAATTTTTCAGTGTAAACCTCTGAAATCTGAAAAGAATAAAACCTTATTTTCCTGGACTTTCTGATTTTTGACAGAAAGCATCATGTCAGGAGAGTCATGACAACCAAAAACCACTTCAGTTTCTTGACACTTCAGGAGGAGACTTCTTGCTCAGTATTTTTTACTTTAATAATTAAAAGAATGGAAGAATTGGTAGTATTAGTGTCATCTACTAGAGGATGTTTTGCCTGTCAATCATAGGCAACAATCACACAAATTGCAGACACATATCATTCGGCACACTTATCTCTCTTATTGTCATTTGTGGATTTTGAAGCTTTCCACATCTGTCTCCATGCTGTATTTTCCCACATATTCTCAGATATAAGCATTACAGCAGGTCTTGCTTGCATTCGTGCTTTGAAAGTGGACACAGATCAAAAATGTACCTGAGAATTATTTGTTTCGAGACCTGTGGACTAATCCTTAAATTCTTTAGTTCTAAGGGAAAAAAGCAAATGTATACTGCACTGAACTTGGAAACTTATCATTTTTCTGTGAATCCTGAACACTTAATCTATTGTTTCTGTGATTTAAGTCTGATGGTTAGGATCTCTGAGACTTAAAATTGTCATCTGAAATGATTTCTAGTTGACCCAACTGCAATGAATGAGAATTAAATAGATTGTGGTTGCCCATAATTGGTTAATATGTGAGTATATTTAAAATAAGGGCCAAATATTTTAGATATGATTAATAACGGTAATGTAATTCTTCTTCAAATTCAGGTAAAGTATTCTTTTGGGCATGAAGTTACCATTTTCCAATTTCTGTTGCAAGAGATTTTGCTTTTGCCTTTGTAAAATGATATACATATATATGGAGAGAAATAAATTAATCCATTCTACCTTGATCATCCAGAGCTTATTGTTCATTTGGTTGATACGAGGCAAAAAATATGTCTGTCTTAGGACATTGTAGATACTCTTCCCTTCCTCAGTTCATAATAATTATCCATGAATTACCTGTCTCCAATACTTTGGTGTATTCCTGTCTACACCTTTCAAGAATCTTCCATAGAATTAGAAACAAGGTAAAACAGTTCCTGCTTATGTCAATATTATGACACTTGGGTCCTATAAAATATTTAACTGCATCAACATTGATCAATTTTTCAGAGACCTACTAGACAGTTTCACCAGTGTAAAAACAAAAAAAGAGACACAAAGAGAAAGACATAGGAGAACTTTATACCTCAAGCTGAATAGAGACACAAGTCATTCCTGTGCCATTAGAGAAATATATCCATGGTTCTTTTCCTTATTTGATACTATTAGGATCTTTACATTAAAAAAACCACAATTATCAGTATGATTAATCTCAAGATTACCCTTTGGTGCCCCATCTATTGCATAGATGGATTTCCTTCTCTCTACACCCAGGAAGTATTATCCCCAAAGACAGGTGGAGAGATTTACACATTTTCTGCATATAGTGGAAGGTCAGTGACATGGAAATAAACTTTTATTTTCTGACTGCTCCCATCATAGAACACTCTCTCCTATAATGAAACCAAATTGAAATGCCATTCTCTATAAAAAATGCAATTTCTTTGTGTCTTTTCATAAAGTGATTATTACTGAATAATCTTCATGGCTATCTTGTTATTGTAGCTCATTTGTAAGAAGACATAGGACAATGACTGACATTTAAGCAGAAAACTAATCTCGATGGTGAATGATATAAGGAATATGTATTATTTATTGGATACCATATGATGATAGTCTCACAACAATATTTCGTATAGAAATTGCTATTTGTGTGAAATGGAATCAGGTACAAGAATTTTAAAAGGACTGTCATAATTATCATCTTATAATTTACATGATATCTGTCAACCAGTTGATGCTGTGTATCAGTTAAAGCAGTTACAGTAGATGAATATACTTAAAACACATATTTAAAACCACTTACTCATGTAACCTAGAATACTTCAGAGAAAATATTTGTTGTCTTGTGTACTTCTTGGATTAGGTAGTGCTAGGTAACTCAATAAGAAACCTGTTTATGGATACCAAAATTATAAAGTATATTGAAACATTGATAGGAAAATCTACCCAAAAAGTCACAATAAGCACTTATTTATTTTCTGGTACAGGTGTGCTGGAGACTGGAATCTTTCAGAGATTAAACATACCCTCAAAATTCATAGGCCATTTTTCAAATCTCTATAAAATATTAGTTTTGATGCAAATATTATAATATGTCTATTGATATAGGTAGTTGGTGTTATTAACAGCATTAATATTAATGGAGCATTTTTATAATACAAGGCAGCTTGTTAAGGTAGTGTTTCTCAACTTTGTTGTAAGAAAGTAACAGAAAAATATCAAAGCAGATACTGTGATTAAAGTGACTTTGGTGTGAGTCCAGGGTATCTGAAGATTGTAAAATATTCACAGGTAAATTTATAAATAATGACACTAAGAAACACAGTTGTGTAATTTCAAATGTTTTTAAAAAACACTTTCTTAGAACAAACTATATGAAGTAGCTAATTATTATTCTATTTTTATAGTTGAGGCCAAATTGTACTATTTACAGGTGAGTTTACTTTTACTTTTCTGTCTTGCATTGGTTTTTCAATTCATTCATAAAATGCCCTGGCAAAACTTTATGCCCGGTTTCCTTTAGGTAGCTGAAGCTTGGGAAGTAGCTTTCATATATCAAGGAAGATTGGTATGAAAATCGATTAAAAATAACTCAGTAGATTAAGATCCACATATAGGCTCTGGAATTTCTGTGGTTGTAAAGTCTTTCACTATAAAACAGAGTTTTGTTTTTAATCAGGGAAATAATGAAATGAATTGTCTGACATTATAGAAATAATTTACAAGAAATAAATAAGACACAGATATTTCTGATATACAAGCTATTTTACAGATATTATATAAGGTTGAATTTAGTGCATAAAACAAGTGTAAAATTTTAAAAAATTCCAAGATGCATCTAGGAGCTCACTATTTTATTATCAAAGTTATAGTATGAAATAATGTGATAAATTGTGATCAGTACAATACATGGTTATTTCTATTTAACTTAACCACATTTACACAAAATTTGAAATTCAGCAAAGATAAGTAAAGAACTTGTATTTTAAATACTTTTCAAAAAACACCAAAAAAGCTTTATTGTCATATACTGATTTTACATACTGAAGTGATCAAACATAACATTTTCATTGAGGAATGTGACATATTTTGATCATATTGACACCACATTACCCTTTCTCAAACAAACAAGATATCAATAAGCCTACACAACCTTCAAGATGATATTCAGAAAATCTGTGAATGGCGGCAAACTTCTGGGAGGTAACAGGCACATACTTCATTTTCTTATTATTAATCTTTAACATTAGCATTCAGATCATGAAATCCTAACTCGTAAAGTTGTTCAAAGTTATGTACATCAAGGTAATTTTTACCAACTTACAGTAAAATATACTTTAGAATGTATGCTAATATTTTTCAATTACAGTATTTTTAACTAAACTTACAATGGATATTACTTATGCTGTATTGTCTGAAAGAAATATGCTGCATTTTACCGGGATCATAGATGTGTTGTCTCTGTTGCTGTCAGCCTTGTCACTGTTCACTTGAGTATCTATGAAGCAGGTGTATATATGAGAGTTGTTGGTAACTGAATTCGTCAGAGTTGAGAAATATTGTTGAAGGTATATAGAATTTAAGTGGAAGCTCTTTGCTTGTGAATACTTGATTTAAATATATTCAGTCTTAGATTCCTGCTTATTTGTCTCATTTTTCCGATGATTTTTTTCCTAAATGTGGTCAAGAAGTCTACAAACAAAAAATATGTCACATGTCACAGAATTCTATCTCATGAGACTGTCAGATGATCCATAACTGCAGCCCATTCTCTTTGGACTGTTCCTGTGCATGTATCTGATCACCATCCTGGGAAACATTCTCATCTTCCTGGCTGTTATGTTGGATACCCACCTCCACACTCCCATGTACTTCCTCTCCAACTTGTCCTTGACTGATAGCTGTTTCATCTCCACCACAGTCCTAAACATTATTGTGGACATCCAAACTCACAGTAGAGCCATCTCCTATGTGGGATGCCTAACACAGATGTCTGTTTTTGTCATTTTTATATGTATGGATGACATGCTTCTTTCTGTGATGGCTTACGACAGGTTTGTAGCCATCTGTCACCCCCTGCATTACTCAGTCATCATGAGTCCACAACTCTGTGTTTTCTTACTCTTGATATCATTATTGTTTAGCCTTTTGGTCACCCAACTGCACAATTTAATTGCCTTACAACTTACCTGCTTCAATGATGTTGAAATATCCAACTTTTTCTGTCACCCTTCCCAAATTCTTAACCTTGCCTGTTCTTCTGTTACCTTCACCAGAAACATAGTAACATATTTTGTTGGTGCCATATTTGTTGTTTTCCCCATGTCAGGGATCCTTTTCTCTTACTATAAAGTTATTTCCTCCATTATGAAAATCTTATCATCAGGTGGGAGGTATAAAGCCTTTTTAACCTGTGGGTCTCACCTATCAATTGTTTGCTTGTTTTGTAGAAAAGGTATTGGAACTTATCTTGGTTCATCTGTATCACATTCTCCCAGGAGGGTATGGTGGCCTCAGTGATGTACACTGTGGTCACCCCTATGCTGAATCCCTTCATCTATAGCCTGAGAAATAGGGACATTAGTAATGCCCTGAAAAGACTTCATAGGAGTGTAGTTTAATTTCCTGTGGGAGGTCATGTGGCATCCACATAGAATTTTAGATTAGAAATGGCCCAAAAAATGACCATGTAAACCTATAAATACTGCCACCTTGCTCACATTATTTTCAGTATTTACAGATTTACTCATAATTGTTATTAGACAGTCCTCTGGGATATTCTGGGAAATATAGCTTAAGTGTAAGAAGATATAGGTTATAAGTACTGATTTTTGTTTGGAACAAAAATGTAAGTGATTAATAACGACATTGTTTATGTACCTTTTGAATTTAAATAACTATTCTCCATCTGCATATTATCTGCAACACACAAATATATGATATGGGAAAAGTACAAGAACTGTACTGTGCAAAGACGATCATGATAGTAAAGTAATAAACTGAGTCGCTTCATTGGATGTACTCTGTGTCAGTCAAAATGTTTGATGGAGTATTTGATGGACTTCACAGAAAGATTTAAATTCACATGTCAGTGTAAACTAGTACTTTTCAGAGTCAATAAGGGCTATTTTATAGAGTACTTTGATGAGCTTTACATAAATCTTGGTTAAGTTTTCTGAAAAATATTTGTATTTTTATCTATGATAATGATATGAAAATATTGAGAGGAAAATCTACTGACCACATTCCTGGAAGCAGTTGCCTGTGGAAAGACAGTAGTGCAGGAAGATGGAAACATACACAGATACAGGCAGCTAAGAATTCATAGATCACTATTCAAATATCCACAAAGTATCTCTCCTGAATCATGCTTTACTAAATATTCCTACTTCACTGTAGGCAATGTTTATAATAAATAGTAATAATAAATAAAATTAATATCTCTAATATACCAGGTGATTAGCAATTTTTTATTTTAGTTAGTTTCATAATCATATGTATAAGACTCAAGATATAAGCTTCTAAATTATATTTTTATTATTACCTTTGATGAAAGGAAGGAGCACAGCATTTTTTGAATCCAGCATTAGGCTGATAGACAGAAAAGAGAGATGCCATGTTTGAACTGAGGTGTCTGAGTTTAGACACAGGACATTTTCCAGAGAGAATCATAACATTTTGTGCTATTAACAACAATGAATCACTTCACTTCTCTTTCATCCCGGAGGAGAGACCTTGTCACTGTGCTCTTCACTGGGAGAGCATTGTGTGTCTTCTGCTTCATCTACCATTGGAAGGGTAGCTACTGATTACAAAAACTCAATTTCACCCAATTCTGTCTTAGCTGTCAATATCATCTTTCTGTTTCTAACTACCTTTGATCTCTGCTTTACTTCCCATAAGCAGAATCAAGGTATATTCACATACAATTCTACCTGTACTCAAAAGGTCAATCCATCCATTCATCTATTGGAATTTGCAAATGTAGGGAGTGTAAATTTTATCAGGCTTAATTGAACTTATATGAAACGTAAAGATAATTCAAAGTCATTACTAAAAATAGATTTACTTAAACTTCCTGAAAGACACCAAACCAATATTATTCTTTAATATTTAAATGGATTATAAGAACTTTAAAAATATTAGGCTAGTCAAGTTTTTGTACATTAAACAAAAGATAGCTTGTATTATTCATAGTATAAAATTATATGCTAAATCAATGTTACAGTACACCAGTATAAGACAAAACTTTAGAACATGTAAGAAATATAAGGAGAGGATAATATCAGCAAGACAGGAGAATATAAGTCACCACACGCCATTATGCCTCACAAAATTTTCAACTAGCAACTATCCATTGATAAGAACAACTTTGTCAAAAATGGGTAATGGGAAAGAACAACTGGTGTGCTTTACAGAAATGAGTTTAAACTACCTTAGAACAGTAACAGGGATATCCTTACTTTCATGTTGTCATTTCTTCTTCTACAGGATGTGTTCACAATGAGGTAGAGTAGATTCCCAATTGCCCACAATTTGTACAATAAGAAACAAGACCTGGATACTGTCAATCTGATAACTTGGCATTTTGAGACTTTTTTCAGGAAGCCCACTGTTTTCTTACCTTACGTGGAACGTTAGGTTAACAGCAGGAGTATATCATCTATAGTCAAGAATAAATAAAGAATGCACAGTGCACAGGGATGTGTGCACAGATTTTGGTGCTATTCTGTGTTACTCACAGCTCTGACACCCAAGAAGGCATGGAAATCCGGTCTGCAAATCTGACCTGCCAATAAGGAAAATCTAAATTTTACTTTTGTAGGAAAATGGATGGAACTAGACATCATCATGTTGAACAAGGTTAGACAAGCTCAGAAAGACAAATATTGCATGTTTTCTCTTCTATATGGAATGCAGACCAAAAATAAATAGCTCTTAGATTTTTATGTGATATTCTTTATAAATCCTCCTTTGGAAATGATGCTTATATAACATTCCTCACAACCAACATGAAATAGTGTCAATTTACAAAGATTTTTTCCCTTGGCCAATCATTCTAAAATTCTAGTTTGTTCCAATCCTATCCACAGCTCTGTACCTCCTTTTTAAAATCCACCATTACTTGATTAGGTATACACCAAAGTGTTTTAATATAAGCTAAGATCAAATCAATTTCATTTTCGTATCACTTTCACAATGTACTTGTGGTTGTCTGCAATACTGAAGTTTGAACTTAGTGTTTTGCACTTGTGAGACAGATTCTTTACTGCATGACTCATGTCTCTAGCTCCATTTCATAATGCACAAAATTGTAACAGACCACTATTCACACAAACCCAAATTTATTCATCTCAAAGTACCTTAAGAAACTGTAATAAATATCTAAGATCTGAAAACCTTTTAAAGAAAGTGAGAGACTAGCAAAAATCAGTTTAAAAATTTACTTTATTTGTAGGACTATTGTGATAATGCATTAGTAGACTATCAAGCTTACTTAGCCAAAAAGTGTAGGTTGTTTTATATCATCGACTGTCAAGACATCAGCTCCAAAACTGAAGTCTTAGGTAGCTCAAACATCCATTAGTTATTATACATAAATTGAATGCTATAATTTCTTATGTAGCTTCCTTAGGTCTTATGACATTACTTTATTGCACAAATAGCTGTCCAAATCCAAATGTGTTTGTGGAGATCATCACTGGAAGGTGTCACTCAGCTGCCATCTTGCTCCATATCACATTTTTTCTCAGTTTTTAAAAACTTCAGTTGTTTTAAACTTTACGTTCTGTATCACCATGTTAGGTGAAATGGTTGTAGATAATTTTGTCAAAGTCTAGTCCAGGAATTGTCTATGAAAAAAATTCATAATATCTTCAATAAAATTGAAGGAAATTGTGGGAAACCCTCAGGACACCCAAAACCTCTTGGAAAAGAGCAAAGTCACTGTAGTTTGTGCAACAGCCCTAAGAGAGGTTGCAACAGTCCAAGAGGACAGTTGCTGAAGTCCCGTATTCTCTCTCTGTGTGGGACCAGGAAGACCCAGTTCTGAGAACAGGATTCTCTGCACTTGGGCTCACAGCCATAGCAATGTGACAGCCAATCCTAGTCCAGAGTTCAAGGGAAATCTGAGGACTACCACATACTCCTTCCTGCTTCACTGCACTGCTTAAATACAGTCTTCCGAAAATAAACTATGCCATTGCTGCCAGCACAACCCCGAGTTTGTGTCATTATTCACCATTTAAGCACCAAAGACCAGAGTCAGAAACCCCACTGCAGCTGGACTGTGGCAGGAAATCAGACGTTATTAAGAGTATGAATTTGCATACGACACAGAACATATTCTATTTACCTTCTTCAGTTACATATTTGGATTAAGAATCACTTAACCAAGAATGAGTTTCAGAGGACATGGTTCAGTGTACTGATGTAGAAAACTATCTAGAACATTGTAATCAACCATAATTTAAAACATTTTTTATTGTATTAATTGGTCAACTAAAGGACCTCGAAGGGAGACAATTGCAGTTTTGATTTCTGCAACTGAATTTATTAGCTCTTTGGGACAGAATATGGTACTTATCTCTGCAGCCTTAAATGTTATCTTTTTTCAGTATTCCTTAATTACAATATTCTGATTTAAATGAAAAAGAATATTCATGCTAATAACTCATTAAGAATAAATATCCTATTCATCCTCCTTATCATTCTCATTTTCCTTATCCTGCTTATCATCACCTACTCCAAAATCAATGAATTCCAATCAGTTATTTGGGTTTCATGTTTCTGTTAACTCTGTATGTCTTATGAAATGTTACACTATTGTATGTACCTTGACATGGTGAAGGGCATGGAATGAATATCATTTATCAACATATGAAAATATAGCAAACTGAAGGTAATAAGTATACCTTAGTTTTGGTATATTTGAATATATTATATATTATCCCAGTAGTAAAAATAAGATAAAATTTTCATCCTACATTCTGCATTTTCCTTCTCCAGATAGCCATTTATATAAACCCTTCTAAAATTCTAAAGGAAGAAAGCTATGTGCATTTTGAATAATGAGGAATACTTAAGAAGATATTCTTTCCTTTAACAGAAGTGAGATTCATTCATAGAATGGTGTTATTTGGATATTCCATAATAATAGCAAAATAACAGGGAGGAGGAAAAGAAGAAAAGAATGATAGAGAGTGAATAATATTGAAATACATCATATTTGTGTTGGGACAAGACACAAGGAAGTACACTGATAACTGTTGAACAATCACAGGGTTATATGAAAAGTATAAAGAAGAATAACAGAGGTTGTTTGACTGAATAAAGTACAATGTATTTGCACATAAAATGCCAATGCAAAACCCCACTGAACAATGGACAAAAATTTAAACACTCAAGGACAGGAATGTAAAACAGTTCATGTTAAGGGGAAGGTAGTAGTGGGGGTGGAGGTTCAATGAAGAGGCTAAAGGATGGTGTATATATTTGAGGTATAGACCTATATGAATATG